GATGATTAAATGCCATATTTTTTTATTTTAATACTTTAAGAAAAAAAACCCTTGTAAAATATTAATTAATTAACTTTTTTATACATCAACAACTGGTCAACAACTGGTCAACAACTGGTCAACAACTGGTGCATTTACCCTACATTGGAATCTTAAAAAAATATAAAAAACTTTTAAAATCTAATTTTGATTATTTATAATCTAATTATAGACTGATTGTATAAGCTTATAATTTATTAATGTGTTCAGTTAGAATTTATTGTAAATCTAATTTGAGATTTCCATGAATAACTTTTAAACTAATGGATCAAATTAAAATTTAATATGAACAAAGCCTGAAGTACATAAAACATACCTCCGTACTTGAAATGAACACAAAAAATTTTCTTATTAAAAAAAAAAAATATAGTCTCTACTATTATCATACTTTAAGCGCTATAATTTTTTCATAAGAATCAATGAGCAAAATATTCTAATATCTTAAATATTCTAAATATTTTTCCTGATGTTCTCATCCAAATTTATAAAGAATAACTATTAAAATTACCATTATTTAAATAAACAATTATCGATTCTTACCGCGCAAAGTATGACGCGTGATACATGTACGATTGTATAATTTTATCATATCACCATCAATATAATTTATTATAGTTACAATTTCAGTAATTAATAATCAAAAATAGCACACTAATAAGTAATCTAAATATTGAGGCAAAAAATCAATTATCAATTATAATTATAATCAGTTTAATATCCGCGGTAATTAAATTGGAAATAGAAGCGACGGAGGATCTTGCGTGAAAATTGTAACATGCAATATAAAACAGTAAGAATTAACTGTCATGCATATGCAAAGTATACGAAGACAATTACTAGTACGTATATGTAATAATAATACGTTGAAACGGATAACTCAAGGTCTAAAAGTTAACTCGTCTATGTCGAGTACCCACAAGAGTTTCAGTAAAAAATTATTTTACATACAATTGATTTTTCAAATCGATGAATCTTCTGATTTTTTTCATTAACTATTGAAGTCATTGATTGAATTTTTTATTTATTAAGTAATTTTTTTATCAGTATTCACAGCATCGCTTCTATTTTTCACGGAAAATATGCTCAAGTATTTAAACGTGACTGTTTTAAAAAAGTTTTTACTATTTTGTTCGTAAATAAAAAACTTTTTGAAATAATTAGACGTATTGGAAATTATTTTAAAGGAAATCTAATTGCCAACAAATTCGAATAAATTGAAAATTTTGGTAAGACTGATGATTAAAAAGTTACAGCCGTTCTAAATTCGAAGAAATATTTAAACACTTGATTTTTATAAAAAATTTATAATTTTTTAAATTATTAAAAATTTAATGAAGTAATGTACGCATCTGTATCCACAAAAACCACTAATTGATCATAAAACACAAATTCACGAGTCAGATCGACGGTCAACGGTGACGGCCGTCTTGTATGTGTTCTATATGTAGAGGCTTACTGTATACTGATACAGTACCTACTCCTCTACCTCACCGTTAAATCTAATCCCTCTGTTCCATTCTCAGTCCTCCATAATATAATAAAAGTCCTCAATACTCAGTCCGTCTTCAGCCGCGGTGCATTAAACGTCGCAGTTACCGAGCGCTCCGTGCGTTCGCTCTGCAGTTATACACTTATTAATCACGATTATTATATTTTTGTTTTTACGAGTCACTTTGGTTTAATTAACGAAGATTATAATTTATTTTCACATATTTGTTTTATCATAGATGTGAATTGTGATTTTTATTTTTCGGTTTTATAAAAGTATTATGTTCAAATCGTTAATTATTTTTTATGTGACCATAATTAACTACAGCTTGTGATTAAATATAATGTAAGATTTAATTATTTAGTGAAGACATTTCTTTTATAGAAAATTAAAATTAAGAATAAGAATAATAATAATAATAATAATTTTGTAATTTGTAATTTATTGACAAGGCCGTAGGACAAGGTCCTCTAACGGTCTAAAGATAATGCAAAGGATATGTACAGAGTACGTTGTAACATATGAAATCTAACAATCTAACAAAATGTAAAATAAATTTAACATAATTAATAATATTTAAGGTCTCTCAACGTCAATTAATATTGAAAAGAAAAAATAGTCAAATGAAAAAGTAAATCTTAATTGCACAAATTATCACAATTGCACAAATAATCTAAACTTATTATTATTATTATTATTATTATTATTATTATTATTATTATTATTATTATTAAATTTTAAAATTATTAAATAATGATATGAACAATTTTTTTTTTTTTCAGGTGGCTGAGTTTTTTAATGATTCGAGTACGACAGTGATAGCGAATCAAAGAAAAATTACTTCTGAAGATAAATAGAAGATTTTTACAAAGAATTTTTTGTTAAGTAATTTCTTAATAAATAAATCTAAAAATGAAGTTAGAGGGAAATAGTTCGAGGGACGATGACGCCAATGGAATTTTGATGCAACCGAGAAAGGGCTCGGTTGTAAGGGTTCAAATTGTGCCGATTCAACCAAAAACAATCACACATTTGCCAAAAAGGCCACCTGTTGACTTAGCATTTACGGATTTAACTTACAAAGTTCGGGAAGGACGTAAAGGAAGTAAGTACCAACTTTTCATTTTTTTTTACGGTTCTGTTTCATGCATTCATTATCATTATTATTATTAAAGTTGAAAGACCTGATAGTAAACTTAGAACCGTTATTTAAAATTCAATGACCTAAGTTTCTTAATTTTAAAACCGCATTTAGAAGTTTTCTTGTTTAAACAGTAGTTAAATATTCTAAAAATATAATTTATCAAAAATGAAAATGGATTTTATATATTTGTAAGCTTGAAGGTTTTGATCAATAAAAGCATATTGCGTTCTGCATAGTTAATAATTACAAAAAAAATAATTAGCTTTCGTAAAATAGATAAGCAAAGTCAATGATAAAACATAATATACATAAAAATATGTATTACAAGTCGATGAGTTAGCATCCAAAGGTTGCATTGGCTTGACGGAAAGAGGTCAAAACTCATGCGCGAAAGATCAAGGTTCGAATCCCGGGCATTTCAAAGTTTTGTAAATTTCTACTGATGTTGCGGGATTCCGTTGAAATAAAATAAGAAAATAATTAATTTTCTTATTGGAAAAATTTTTCATTAGAAAATTAATTTCTATCACTAAAAATTTGAATTCAATTATAGAAAATTGAAAACCGTTAAAGTAAATAATTTTCATTCATAAAAAAAAAAGTTTATTTAGAAGAGAATGAATATTTTTTTAATGACCGATAATCTAGTACAGTTAGTTGTCGGTCGTACATTTATTTTCTCAACATAAATATGAATGGACATGTAATTTGCAGTTAGAGACTAAATCTTCTTACCTAACTTGCATTATTTCATTCAGGTTTAATAATTCAATCATAAAATTAAAACCTTATTCCATTGATAGATTTATAATATAATCATTAATCGTTTTTTTTTAATTAAAAACCTCTTCTAGAATTTTCATCGATGCGAGTGTAGATAAAAAAAGTAGCTGCGTATATAATAATTACTATGTATATGATAGAATATCGCGACCTTTGATCTCAAAGTCTATATCAGTATTAATAAAGTCAGTTTATACGTACTACGTAATTATTATTTTTTTAACTTAGATTTTTTAATTTTATCTTAAAAATTATCTCTACAGAGAGATTTATTATAAAAAACTTTTTAATTAAAAATCGTCAAGAAATTTTTACTGCCATTTCATTTTAAGGTTTTTATAAAAAATGACTGAATACTTGATAAATATTGGAACCATTAAAAAAAAGCTTGACTTTGATACCAAGAGATGGCGCCACTTTTAATGACGTCACTTCTACATTGCAAAATCGTAGAAATTGGCATTTGCAAGTAAAAAAGGCGGGAAATTTAAAATCCAACTTTAAGAAATTAAAAATAAAATTTTTTCCGTGTCGTAACGTTGAAAGTTGTCTAAAAATAGTAAAATCAAAATTAAAAATAACTCAATTTTGACAAAATATAGTAATATTATAAAATACTTCGTCTACAAAACAGCTCGTCTCAGTAATTCTTGAAAAACCAGTTGAAGCCTAAAAATACTTTCTAAAAATCATTAAAAACTCACTCCGACAATTAAACAAAATTCTTCTACAACATTAAGCCCGTTGTCGAGAAAAAAATTTCCTACAAGGAAAATCCTTCTGAAGGCGTTTTTTTTCGGCGAAAGAATCCTCATCTGAATTTATAATTAGCAATCTTCCGAATGATTAAAAAAAAATAATTAATCGATATTTCAACCTTCAAATAAAATATTATTAAAATAAAAAAAAATCTCACAAGCCGATACAATTTTTTATCTAGATCTCACGCAACTCGTTACTCTTTTAAATAATTCCATTTAAAAACAGGTTTTCTGATGTGACATTGACCACAGTGAAAGTGTTCTATTACATTACTAGAGCGTACAATTATTCTCAATATTCTCTATTATTAACGCAGCTTACTTAAAAAGTAGTCACATTTGTTAAGAAATACTTGCAAATTTTATTAAAATTAACTTTTTTTTCGCGATAAGTAGATTCGCGAATGACGGAATTATATACGCCCCCATCTACTTGACAATTTCTAGTTTAAGTTATGTCACGGATACTCTCTTGTTTCTTGCACTCAAATATTTAAATTTACATTTTACATATTAATATTTAATATCCAAGTTTTACTTGCTAAACACTAGTAGCACTACAATTCTTTACTTTGGATAATCGTATTCTATATAAATAAAACTTAGTTTACATAGTTAACATTGTTAAAGTATCTATACAGCTATTGTAGTATAAACAAATATTTAAGCGTCTATTTGTAATATTTTTTAACAAGTCAATTTCACTTTCATATTTACACATTTTTTTCGTCATTATTTCGCAAGTTAATTCCTTAAAAAGTCTGTTTCAAAATACGTACTCACTAAATAAAGTTATTAAAATTTTAATTTAATGAAGTTGATAGATGAAACTTAACTTCTAGACTTTTTTAATTATGTAATTAACGGAAAAAAAAAAACTTTTTTGTATGTTAATGTTAAAAATTATAATTTTCTACACTGATAGAAGGATTTGTTTGTATTTAATAAATCAATTTATTAAAATCTTTTTCAGATATTTTTTTGGTTGGAAAAAATATTTTTTTACTATTAACAATATTCGTTAATATTAACTAAATCTATTTTTTATGAGAACAACATTTTTGTAACTATTAAGAAGCTTTAATGTATTGAAAAAAGTATTTATTTCCACCAAATAAGATTTGTTAATAGTTAACAAATATTTTGTTGGTGGTCGATGTTGGTAGAAGGATAAAAAATCCTTCTATCAGTGCAAGTTTAAAAATTTTTCTCTTGTCAATTTTTTTTTTCCGTGTACAAGAATAACTTACAAGATAATTAGAAGTAAAAATATATGAATAAACATGTGTAATGGTCAAGATAAAAAATATCTGAAGAATTGCGTGGGCCTTTCACAAATGCACGTATAATTGCAGGTTTCAAAAGCTTATATAAATGGAGATTTTTATTTGAATGGTAGCTTTTATAATATTTAAAAAATAATATAGCAAGCATGTCAGATCACATCTTCAGAATCCGGTAGTGTGTTATCTGTAGATGGACTTCTCGACCAATTGAAAATCGAAAAATAAATAAATAAATGCCTGAACTTCATTAAATATCTAATTCTCTGTAATTTTTATAATTAAAATAAAACATTAAAACACGTTTTTGAGGAATTTTTTAAATATTAATAATCCAGTGTGTAAATATTAATAAATGATTTATTAAATATTATTAAATCATTTTATAGATGTTAATACTTTCTATCAGTGTAGTCTTCAATTTTTTTGTATCGGATGAGCAATTCTTTTTTTCTATTAATCATTCTTACTCATAAGCGTAAATTAAGGTCATTAAATGTTTTTGTTGAACAATTTTTTTTTCCTGTGACTAGACTTAAATCATTATTAAAAGAAAAAAATTTTATGACTAAAAAATAATACCGATTTCTATAGAAAAAAAATTCGTTTTATTATCTGTGATGAAATTAATAAATCTTTAAATAAATTAAAAAAAAAAATTTTTTGCCTTTTATAAGAATGGCGTCTTACAATTTAAAATTAGACGTACTTTATTACAAATAATTAAAACAAAAGTGAATAAAAAATGAACGAACAAACCAAGAACAGGTTTTGTCAGTAGCGTTTTTATTTATTTTTAAAACCGCGAAATTAATTGGCTAAGAGCAGGCGTATAAAAACATGAAAGATAAACGAAACAAAAATTACAAAATGTAAATATTATTTATTAGTGATATGACGGTTTGAATATTAAAAGTAAAAACTGAAAGAAAAAATATCGACTACTACTAATCTAGCGTGATAGATTGGACACACGATTGTTGCAACATGACAGTCTTATAAATGTTAATAACAGTAATTTTTTTTTTTTTTTCATTATCGCTCTTTGCTATGAAAAATATTACAAGCTGTTTTTTGCAATTTAAGTAATATTCAATGCGAATATTGTTAGAGTAAATTTTCAGTTATTATTTATAACTTTTTATTCACTAATTAACTAATTGTGCAAGTAAGATTACAAGAGTAATATTTTAAGATATTAAATGTCGGCTTTCATGCCAGAAGAATTACTCAGTGTTGTCGTCATCGCGAAAATCATTAAATGTATCTTCTTTAGTCTTTAGAATTTTTATTATTTATTTCGACAAAAAATCGCTAAAATTCAATTATATTACGGCCATAATTTTTGCCACTGACCTGATATTTTTTATCGCTTTTTAGCGTCTCGGCCTAACGGCATGGAAATTAAAAATTTTTAGAGTTTTATAGCTTTTTTATTGGCTATTTCGCAAAATATTCGGGAGTTTTTTAAGGTTTTTAGTTATTCATCATCATCAAATGATACGACCAGAAATTTTTACATGTTAATTGAAGATTTATTTTTTTTAAGTGATAATTAATCATTTTTATCCTTAGCTTAAATTTTAATCAATAAAATTCAAAATTTATTAGTTTTATTGTAAAAATTACAGATAACTTTCTAATTTTAATGAAAAATTAAAAAACTTGACACACTGAAAGAAAAAAAAATTTAGTTCCGAAATTTCTCGTTAGATGGCCTAGAGTTTAGATCTTCTCGCATTCAGACCGGTATTTAAAATGTATATATAATAAATTCGATTTTACATTAGAAAGCCTTCTTCGCAAGTTATTGTTATGATGTTTAAATAAATGCAATTTTCATTATAAAAAAAATTCAATATAATTGATAATTAATGGGTGTAAAGATTTATCCAACGTATGTAATGTAATTGAAGATTTTTATTCGCTAGATTACCTAAAAGTGTCTGTTATTGATGATTTAGTCATAAAATATTCAAGATATTAAACAATTACTAGTTTTATATAATTGAAAAATTATTTATTAAATAAAATGATACTGACATCATAAAAAAATTATGTTTTTGTAAGAAAAATAATCTTGTGTATAATTGTACTATATGTAATTTTTAATAATTGCAAAAATTGTTATAAATAAAAATATGTCTTTAATTTTATAAGAATTTCACATCAGTGTAGGAATGCACGAGTTAACAATTAAAAAATATGTTGATATATAGTTGATATTATCTTGAATCAATTTTACCGGTTTCAAACCAAGAGATATAAATACTTGGGTAAAAAAATGTATTTACCTCGCTTGAAAATCATAAATTATCCGATTAAGGATTTGACTTTTTAATAGAGCTTATAGTAAATATTTACAAGTGGAGTTAACCATTTAAATTTTTGTTTTTTTGAACGTAATTTATATTTGATTGTATTAATGTATTTTTTTTTTTTAAATACATAAAAAAAAATGATTAAAAAAAAAAAATTGATTATCACAATCTTAACAAATTTTCAAAAAAATTTAGAAATTTTTTAGAAAATTGTGATATTTAACTTTTTTTTTAAATTGTTCGTTTTTTTAATGTACTTTTCAAAAAAATATATATCAAAAACATCAAAAAAAGATAAAATAGTCATTTTATCCAGAAACATGAGGGCCAAAATTTTTTCCAACTTTTGAAGGCAAAAAAGCTGTCGAAATCTTTATTTTTTTCTTTCACGACATTTTTTATCATAAATGAGCCGTTAGAATAATCAGAATTAAAAAATTTTAATTTTTCACCTAGTTCTAGCCCAAAATGAGTTTGATCCCACGTGTAAATAATTACCGAGTAATAATTTTCTTTAATTAAGAGATGTACATATTTTGAAACAAGACTAAAATTTTGAAGAAAAAAATTAAACTAAAGGTATCGTTTTTCCTTCAAAGTTTTTTATTGTAATTTTAATGTGCTTATATTGACCCTGCTAGTCAAATATTAAGTTTAACTATATTTGAGTAGTCGTTAAAAAACATTTAAAAACTATAACAATTTAAAATTATTTTTTATAAAAATAATAATTTGACTATCTTCGAAATTATTAATCCTAAAAAATTTTCCCAACAATCGAAATTATACCAAATAAAATTTCCATTGATTATGTATAACTTCTATTTATATCATTTAGAAAACGCTAATTTCCGTTCTTTGATTAAATAAACAAGAACTATTAGAAATAATAACTTAATTTATGAATTATAAATAAATAAATGCAATAAAAGATTGATCACAAGACCTCGAATCGATAGCAAATGCGGTCAGGGCTCACATATTGTTTACAATAGTCATTAAACGTGATTTGGCAATCGCCCGAGGGCTGATTATCGTCGGAATAAATTCACTTTCTTTCCCTACTTCATATTCTAGATTTTAATAAACTTCCATTAAATATTTATGCATACACACAGATTTACACATGTAAATAAATTGCGTACCAGTAGAAAAAGAGCAAGATATCTGTCTGGCATAAGACCGGAATTACATTCGCGGTTCGCTGGATTACGATAATCTCCATCCAGAACTTTCCTACATTCCAGTTCAACTGCAATACTTATATTATATTACCCATGATTCATAATCGTGATTTATTTTAGTAACTTTGGACGAATTATTGCAATAATTAGACCTTAAACTTAGTTTTCCATCATACAGAATTTTTTTTTATTTGCGTTTAACAAGATACGAGCAAATGCTAACTATGAGTGATAAATAATGGAGATGTCTTGAATTTAAAAAAAATTTATTGCTAAATTGCGGTCAGTTTTTTTCAGTCTTAAATGTTGCTAGATCTTGTGAGTCATCAAAAAGATTTAATGCCAACTTATGGCTCTTTGAATAAAATATTAATAGAGAGGTGTAATACTAACAATAAATGTATTTTAATTTGTAAAATTAATTTTTGTTTTTTGTTTTTTTTTTTTATTTAAGATGAGAAGACTATTCTCAAATCTGTAAGTGGAAGATTGAGATCCGGCGAACTTACGGCAATTATGGGACCGTCTGGCGCTGGAAAATCTACTTTACTTAACATTCTTACCGGATACAAGTAAGTTATTGTTTTTCTTAATCATTTTTCATAGGATGAATTCATATTTTTCCCATGAAATCGACATTGAAGTATTCACTTATTGTAAAGAAGAAAATTTCATTTATTCAGTTCCAATCAAGAATTTGGCGATTTTGAACTTCTCAATTGATCTATATAATTTAAAAAATATAAAATTTTTTTATCTAGCGTTTTTATATAATTAAATCATTTTTTTTTTTTTAGTTAAATTTAGTATCACTAGAAAATCGAACGCGCTGCTGTTAAAATGTTTATTATTGACAATTTAATTAATCAATATTTTTACAAATTTAACTCATTAATATTTAACCGTTGCTATGGTAACCGTTGCCAAAGTGGTTACCATATTAGCAATGAAAAGCGACAACAATGAAAACGTCATATCAACTTTTTAATAAAAGATTGGAAAGGTCATGACCTGAATTTGTGATTTTTCAAGGTTTGAAATATTTTTCAGCGATGGTTAATTTATTATAAGTTTTTATAGTAGTTCTAAATAGATTCGAAATTCGCACTAAGTAAAATTTTTTACTTGAATGTTATTATATGCACTGATAGAAGGATTTATTAGTATTTAAAAAGATTTCTTTGTTTTTAAAAAATTATTTCTTAAACATCATTTTTTAGTATTTAAAAAATATTTCTTAGTGTTTAAGAAATATTTCTTAAATACTAAGAAATATTATAAATACTAAGAAATATTTTTTAAATACGAAGAAATGATGTTTAAGAAATGATTTCTTAAATACAAAGAAATCTTCTTAAGGTAGTTTGATCTCCGCATTCCGAAGTCAAATTAATAGATATTTTTTTTTTCTTTTTTGCAAGAGATCACTCGAAAAATAGTATAAAATATAAAATTATTTCTAATCAGAATTTAATTGATTAAATTCAATTGATAATTATGGTCAAATAATTATAATAATATAACTATTAAAATATCAACTGACAAGTACTGGGCTGTCACAAAACAATGACAACTGTTATAGGTTATGTAAGGTCGATACTTAAAACAGTTGCTCACGGTGTTCATTTATTGTTTAAATTTGCAAATATCACTTCAATATATTAAATCTGTTATAATTTACGTCAACTCTTAATGTATGTTTAATAATAATTTATTTTAATGCAAAAAAACTTTATGATTATATTTCAATTTCAAATTTGCCGCGCACCGAGAAATCGCCATTTTTTCCCTAATAAAGATGGGGGAGTAATGTCTCCGACAAACAACAAAGATAGAAACCAATTTTTGATATTAAAAAATTAATTAAATTAAAACTATGTGGTAAATCGTTATCAAATTTTGATAGAATATGTATGAAACATTGTTCTATCTATTGAAAAGTTTTTTTTATTGGGTCAAGTTGGCCGATTTTTTATAAATCCTCCATTTCCGGAGTTATTGAACAAGGACACTCATAAGAGACCGTGTATTTTTGCAAAACTTTAATTAATTATATCTTTTAAACGGTGTGGTAAAAAAATCTGATTTTTTTTCTATAGATGTATTAAATCATAATCTTTCGAATGAATATAAAAAAATATGGGGTCAAGTTGAAGTCATTTGGAGCCCAAACTACCTTAAATGCTAATAAATCCTTCTGTTAGTGTGTCAAATATTAATCCATATAATTGAGAGAATAAGGAAAATTTTGTAATGAACATATTTTAATTGTAAAATGTTATTTTATAATTTAAATTGCACTGAAAAAAAAATTTCAATCAAAACAAAAATTTTTGAGCCAAAAAAATGTTTTTTAAAATTATTTACTTAATTCAAATAAATTTTTTTTTCTCTGTGATATTATCAGAAAGGATGTTAATTTGTTCTTTTTTTACGGTTTGATGTTTTTTCCAGCGATAGTAAATATATCACCTAAATAATTAAGAGAATAAACAAAATTTTATATCTGATATATTTTTATTCTAAAAAGAATTTTTATACTTAGTTTTACTATCATTAGAAAAGTCTTGATGTGAATTTGTGCCTATTTACAATTTTATATATTTTTTATTAATAATCAATATTTGCCGTTTTTTTTTATTAAAGTTTTGAGTAGTTTGTTGGATCTATAATTTTTTTCCTTGAAATATTTCCATTTAATTATTGGTAATCAATTCTGTGATAGCAATATAATTCTAAAAATTTATTAAAAAACTAAACTATTTATATTGTATTTACATAGTTTTGTCATATTATTGATTGCGGGTTGCTAGTTTTCAATTAAATTTTTATGCAAAAACTAAACATTGTATTTGCACTGCACAAAAAAAATTCTGTCATTGTGTTAGAAATTTTTATACAAAATATTAAGCACTAATTTTTTTACTGTTCTGTAGATAAAAAAATTATTAGAGATTTTTTAAAAAATAAAGACTCGTATCTTTACACCGGGTTATTGCCAGCGTATAGATAAAAAGTAAGCGATTTACGATAACATTGAATATAAATTGATAACTGATAAAAATGATTTTCGTTGGCATTTAGAATTTGGGATATGGATATCGTTCCATACAAAGTCCATGTGAATAAATATTTAAATTATAGATACTGATAAATATATAGACATAAATCTTACGTGTAATAATTTAATAAACTAAATACTCATCACATGAAATTTTATCACATGAACAATTTATAACAACAAAATGATAAATCACGGTTCAAAAATTAACATCTAAATTGCACGAGAGTATGCAATGTTTAAATTTGATGTATTTAATGATAAAAAATTATCTTTATTTCTTGATATCTAAGCAGTATTGTAGGTAATTATTCATCTGAATATTGAATTTATTAAATTTTCGCGAAAGCGCTCTGGCGCATCAAATTTTAAATTTATTCGATTAATTATTTTCATAATAAATTAAAATAAGATAGTTTGGAAATTTTCGACAACTAAAAATTGAAACACAAAGATCTGCAACCCACTTTATAATATTATTATTATGAATTAAAACAAGTAATAAAAAGCAACAATTACGTCAATAACGGATGACAAGTCGCGATTTCCGGTTATATAGTAAACGGGAAATGATACGCGATAAAAACAATATACTAAAGTTACTGACATATATTCCAAATAATATATAATATTTGTTTTAATAAAATAAATAAAGTTAAAAGTAAACTTATTCTCAATATTAAGTGAAATGAAATTTTGTATTTTTGAAAGTTGAGAAACTTCACTTTCAATCGATAATTTAAAACAGAGATTTTACCGTATTTGTACTGTTTTTTTATGTTTGAAAAAATAAGGAAAAGTGTATACTTCAAATATGATAATATACAAGTTATATTGCAATAATCACGTTTTCTATTTTATTTTACAATTAGTATTACGTCAGTTTGTTACGTTTAACAATTACATTAGTCATTACTCAGTAATAATTATCTATAAAAATTAAGTTAGCTATTTTTTTAATTATTTAAGTGGAGTTTTGTAATTAATTAGAAAAAAAAAAAGTAAATATTTACAAGTGGGGTCAACCATTTTAATTTTTATTTTTTTAACGAAATAGAAATTTTATCCAAAAACATGAGAGCCAAAATTTTTTCCAACTTTTGAAAGCAAAAAAGTTATCGAAATCTTTATTTTTTTCTTTCACATTTTTTATCATAAATTCGCTGTAGAAAAAAAAGCAGAATCAAAAAAAAAATTTTTACATGTTAATTTTTCATGTATAGTTATGGCTTAAAATGGGTTTGACCCCACTTGTAAATAATTACCGAAAAAAAAAACATGTTTAATTTCTTCAGTATCGTTTAAAATTTTATTAGTTGTAAAAAACTCCTTTATTATTTTTAGCCAAAAAAATTCGAAAACTAACGCTTAAAAAAAATTATTTTTTGAACTATTAAAAAATAATAATAGTGACTATAAATACCTAATTGTTAAAAAGGAAACATCTATTCAATTTTTTATCTAAAAAAATTAGTCATTAATTAAATAATGACAGCAATTATGATCATAAAAAAAACTGATGGAATTATCAATAGAAAAAAAAATCTACAATAAGATAATAAATAAAAAAACAATTAGTATTCAACAAGAAGGGCTTCCTAGTTTAATTTACATGCACGTAAATCTATAGGTCAACTACACGGTGTCAAGGCAATACATTTATGTTTACTGTCAAATGTAATACATACTAAATACATGCCCGCCGAATGTCACGGCTTTTTCCTCAAACATATATTGAATAAAAATATCTACGTTATATTAGATGACCGTTCAAGGATAAAATCTTGCTTTTTAAATAAAATCCCCAACCAAAAAATAATAAAAAGATTGATAAGCGCAGTGAAAGTTTAAACAACCGGTTTCTGGACAAAAATATCACACTTTGTCATTGAAATCAATAATATAAATAAAAAAAAATAAATTTCAAGAGCAAGGGTCATTGACTTTACCTTCAAGATTTTTTTTTTTTAATTTTTGAAACCGGTTTTTTCTCTCAATTACGGATCTTTATTTTCCACTGGACCCTGAATAATTTTCCATTCTTCTTATCAATTATTTATTAATTATTAATGTGGTTGTATTTTTTTGTAGATCATCAGGAATGGAAGGCAGTATAACGATGAACGGCCATGAGAGAAATTTGAGTAGTTTCAGAAAATTATCCGCGTATATCATGCAAGATAATCAATTACATGGTAATCTTACCGTTGAAGAAGCGATGAAAGTCGCCGCTAGTTTGAAATTGAGCAACAAAGTCGACAAAGCTGAAAAAGAAGAAGTCGTAAGTAATTTTTATGTTTAACAATTGATGTTTATCTCACTAGAGTGGAAAATTAAGATGAAGTTGGTACACACGCTAAAATTTAAGTGTACTAACTTAAAGAAAAAGGCAATTCGGCATGCGGAATAGAAGTAGATTTCATTTTATTTCATTTCTGTGAACGAAAACTGCAAACGTAAAATTTCTCAATTATGATCCTAATACGGATATTTTTTGATTTAGAAAAACATGTAAAAATGTAAATTGAAGCTTAATTTCTCAGTTTTCAGATGCATTTTACAGAAATTGAATATCTCGCCGCGACCATAAGTTATTTGAAAAAGTAGTGAGAGTATAAAATTTTCAAAATTAAAAAATGCTGTAATTTCTAAACTAATTGACCGAAAATAATTGTTTTTATTTTATAAGATTTGACAATTTTTTTTTCAATTAATTAAAAAAAAGTCCGGGATGAGCGGGAAGAGTTGTCAAATTGATTGAAGTTTCTTTTTGAAAAAAAAAATAAAAAAAAAAATTGACCAACTTCAAAAAAATTACGATTTTGCTCAAAAAAATCGATTATTTTATAGAATTGATCATATTTAATTTTTTTTTGGGTATTTTTTCGAAAAGTTCATTCAAAAACAAAAATTTTTTAAAAAAAAAAGGTACCCAAGTCAATGTCTAAAAAAGTTATGGCTATTTGAAAATAAAAAAGCCACTTTTTTGAAAAATTCATAACTTTTTTTGGGTTGGATAAAAAAATTTGAAAAAATTCTCTAAAATGTCTTTCAAAGGGTAGTAAAAAATAGAAAAGTTTCAGCTAAATCTAAAGGGGTCGGGTTCACAAGTGGTCGATTTGGCATGAAATACCCCATATATATATATTATAAACTTTTGAATCATATGTATTTCCTGACTCAGCTCGTCGAGTTAAGGCGAAATATAGCAAAATTTTTGAAAAGTTTCGTCATGAGGACAAATACGATAGTTAGATTTTTATGAAATCTACTAAAAGAACCTTACAATAAATCCTAGCTAGATGAAGCAGTTTGATGCAAATCTTTGATAATCTTCAAAATTTTGGCCTAATGACTTCTATTCGAAATTCAGTATTCCGAAACAAAAATTCTATAATCTGAAAATTTTATTAATTCCTCAAATTTATTAAAAAAAATGAATATAATACTTACTTATTCCTCAGATCCAAGAAATCCTTGAAACACTGGGATTGGCGGAGCACCGTCGCACAATGACCTCGAACTTGAGTGGAGGTCAGAAGAAACGATTGTCCATAGCATTGGAGCTGGTAAACAACCCCCCGGTAATGTTTTTCGATGAGCCAACAAGGTAATTAGCATCTACACTCTTCTTTTTGAATTATCTTTAATAAAAAAAATTAGTCCCTTGGCTTTCTAAGAATAGTCTTCAAATATTAATAATTAAAGTCTATATTTGAATAAATCTCGTTGATATTTGAGGTCATGAGTCAGGAAGATTGTTCGAAACAAAGAGAATAATATTTAAAAGTAAAAGTATTTACTATTGTGATGCTTTGAGAGAAAGTGGTAATTCATGTGTGCTGATTCTCTATCTTATCTTTACTTTCACGTTGAAAAATATACGTATTTAAATAATCCACGCATTTATTTATTCATATTAATAATTATAATTAAGCAATTAATTTATTGATTGAATTTTTTTCAGTGGATTAGATTCATCCTCGTGTTTCCAATGTATTTCATTGCTGAAAACACTCGCTCGAGGTGGAAGGACGATAATATGCACAATTCATCAGCCAAGTGCCAGATTATTTGAAATGTTTGACGCGTTGTATACTCTAGCAGACGGCAAATGTGTTTATCAAGGTTCTACGACGCAGTTGGTGCCATTTTTGCGCTATCAGGGACTCAATTGCCCGAGCTACCACAATCCGGCGTCCTTCAGTAGGTTTTACTTGTTTTTTTATGTTAATTTCGTTTTTGAGACTCATTAGAGCTACAAGCCGGTAAAGTAGCAACTTGTAATTGGTTTTAGTTCAAAACAACCCAGTAGATGGCAATGTAGCTACATTCTCACACAGAGAGCCATAAAATTTTCTATAATTATTCTATACTAGTATATGTTGCGCGCGCAAGCGCGCGTGTGAATGTTGGCATGGAATTATCTATATTTTCATGCTTATGATATGTTTGACCAATCACGTTACGAATAAAATGTCTTCATCAATGTATATTTTCATATTTTTCATCTAAATTATAAGAGTGGATTATAGCTTCAAAAAATTCTGATAAAAAAATTCATAATAGATTAGCAAATCTTTTGATATTTATAAACTTCAATGCAATTTATTTGATTAATTAATAAATTACACTGGAATAAATTTGTTTTTTTACAAATAAGCAATGTTGAAACAAAAAATTAATTTGTTGAAAGTTTTCAACAATTTTATTTCTTAGCTGAAGAAATCAAGATTTTTCTCACACTAATTTTTTTTTAACAAGAAAGTTATTGTAAGAAAAATTTTGGAGATTCTAATTTTTTAATTTTTTTGATGAAAATGAAATTAGCAAACATCTGATAATTTTTAGGATTTTTCTTATTAAAAAAATTAAAAAAAATTCCAAATTTAGAAAATTTCAATAATTATCATAAATAATAGGTCCAGCTATTGCAGCTTTATGAATATCTCTTAAGTAAAGAAAAATTATAGAAAAAACTCTCTAGTATATTCAATAGATTATTGAATTATGTATTTTATAGCAGCCCTGATTAAGAAATCTAATTTGAAATAATTTAAAAGCATCTGATTTAATTTTATATAGAAGTACAATTAATGATACTGAAATTAGCGGATATCTGATAATTTTTGGAACTTTTATAACAAACCAATTATTATAAAAAAATATTTTATAGCACTGCGTGTCCTAAATTTGTTTGTATTTAGGACCCGCTCGCAACTGTTGACATAAATAAACAATTATGAAACGAGTAGAGAGGAATTTTTTAGGCTACGGGCTCATCTTTATGATCAATCCATAGATTTCTGCTCTAAAAATTTGACTTTCACAGCAAAAAAAAAATAAAAAAATATATTTAAAAACATTCAAAGCCCCGAAAAAATAGAAAATAATAAATAATTAATAATTAAAATTACATCTTTTTGTCGGTTATGATTCAATCTGAAGTATGCTAAAACCTCAATTAATGATTCTCAAATGTTTTTTATTAACGATTTCGCTCAGTCGTAAACATTATTCTGGTGTGAAATATTTTCTGAACGTTATTTAATTTAACAAAAATCTTACTCCGTAATAAATATGGACAGTGATAATGATTGAGACGATGATTATAATGATTTTGTTCCTGACGAGATAAAAAAAAGGGGAAGAATATAGCTTTAATGCAATTTTTTATGAATAATTTTTTGAAATAAATTTGGTTGTTAAAGAAAATTAAAAAATTATAAAGTGACAGCTAAATTTAATGTTATTTAATTTTATATATTGATTGTTTCAATGTGTGAATTTATTTTTTGTTAATTCATACTAATCACTTTGGACTTATTATTTGATTTATATTTGTTTCTTTTTTTTAACTTTTTATTTGTTTTTTGGGACTGGGGCTTCGCCTCTGGACCCCGATTTTAAGCCCACATATATCGCCGCATTTGTAATAAAAAAATTTTCCTTAATTCATTTTTATATTTAAATTTGAATAAACCTGAAGACGAATTTAGGACACTGGTGCTACAAAATAGTGTAAGATACTCGTGGCTTAAATGAGCGATCATTCTCGGCGTGTTATAATCTCTCATTTAAGCAACTCGTATCTTAATGTACTATTAAAAAATTCACACTTTTCATTTTTCAAAATTTCTACATGTTGAATTTTTTTGTTAAATTATTTTCATTACATTTCAATTGTTATGAAAATCTAAAAAGTTAGTAGATGTTTTTTAAATTTAGTATCATTACAATTAACATAAAAGTAATCATTTCAAATCATCTTTCTGAATCAGAAGAACATTTTTTTTGACAAAATTTTCATTTGCTTATAGAAAAATTCATTAAATTAGTTTGCAATAGCTTTGTTGTTACGAGTACGATAATGATAGTACGGTTTCTTTAGATAAATGCGAGTAGAGAAAAAAATGGGATTCGTTTTTAATGAAAAATATAAAAAAAATTTTCAAATATCTGCTGATTTCAAGATCATTTTGATCGACTGAATTCGATAGATTTTTAAATAATAAAAATCTGAAAAAAAAAAATTTAATTCTGGAATTTAATAGATTTTTGAGTATCGATATCTTGGAAACTAAGCAAATATAAATATCAAAAAATTTTATTCTTACTGCTCATCTTATTTAGTTGAGATCCGTACAAATCCGTCTTCAAATTGTAGCTCCATTTATAAGAACCGTAGTATCCAGAAAATTTTTATTTTTTCAGCTAAGAAATGAAATTGTTCAAAATTTTCAACAAATTAATTGCTTATTTTCTTCAAAAAAAATTTTTTCTCCCAGTATAGTTAATTATTTTCATGATAAATCTAAACTAACCAAAATCTTTAAACTTTTAGTAATCGAAGTATCCTGCGGTGAATATGGAGACAATATTTCAACAATGGTCAACGCGATAAGAAACGGCAAGAATGACATCCGCGACGGATATCCTTTCCCCGACTCAAAATCCGACAACCTTAACAATGCGCTTCAAAACGGCCTCAAGGACGAGAAATCAGCCTTGGGAGTGCACGAGATGATTCCCATGATCGACAAAAACGACGCCAGCAACATCAAAGACAAGTTTGCGGATAGCAAGGATAACCTCCACTTAAACGACAATCACACCAACAGCACAGTAATCCCTAAGTACGTGACAAATGAGATTGCCAAACACGGTGACAACCTGGTGATCACCGTCGACGACAAGAAAGACAACATTGATGTAAATACGTCTTTGTTGGACGAATCAATGGTCCTCACTCCAGAAAGATACCCTACCTCAGAGCTGACGCAGTTTTGGGTTGTTCTAAAACGCACACTGCTGTTCAGTCGTCGGGACTGGACGCTCATGTACCTCCGTCTCTTCGCTCACATCCTGGTGGGACTTCTCATCGGTGCACTTTACTATGATATCGGAAACGATGGTGGTAAAGTCCTCAGTAATTTAGGGTTCCTGTTCTTCAACATGTTGTTCCTGATGTATACTTCGATGACTATCACGATACTGTCGTTTCCACTGGAGATGCCGGTTCTGATGAAAGAGAACTTTAACCGGTGGTACTCGCTTAAGTCTTATTACTTAGCTATTACTATTTCGGATCTTCCATTCCAGGTAATTTTTTTTTTTCATATTTTTTTTACAAAATTTGTTACATAAATTTAGCCAAAGAACTTAAACGGCCTCAAAGTTTATACTAACATCAGAAGACAATTTATTATTTTAGTATCAAATCTCCAATTTCATATTTTTGTTTCAACGTCACGTTCGACCAAAAATAATATCTGCCCTAGTATGAATTTAAAACAATAAATTTACTTACAATTCAACAAAAAAAAATGTACTTTTAATAATTTATATTTTTGATATTCTATTTTTTTACTTAAGTAAACAATCTTTCAATACAATTTACAGATGAGGTAAAAGCCCCTACTATTGACAGGGCCCCTATTATTGATATGTTGTTTTATTTTATTGATTATTTAATCAATTTTATGATTAAATCACAATAAACATTGCTTTTTATCAATTTTTAGAAATTTTTTAGTAAGAAAAAAGTAAAATTTTATGCCTGGGTATTAATTATTAACTGCAAAAAAATTTTAGTTTTCCAAGTAGACCACTACAGCTAGTTTATTTAAAATTCCTTAACAATTTCGCTAAGAGAGAGCGTATTTTAAATAGCGAAATTTTCTATATAATTCTGATGAAAGCCTATCATCTAAAATTATTTGAAGTTATTTAAACTCTAAATAATCTTAGATTTATTGTTTTAAGCTGATAAATTTTAATTATCTCATAATAAAATTGAGATGAAATGTATGTGGCATCAAACTATTCGTAACGTGATTGGTCGAAAATAAATATTCTCATTCTGATAGGTTGAAAGTGAATATACTATACATAAACGACACATAAATATATCATGACAATAAATATGAGGCGCGCGCTTGCGCGCGAAAATTAAATTCTAGTCCTAATATAAAATAGAGATGAAATGTATGTAGCATCAAACTATTCGTAACGTGATTGGTTGAATATATCATAAGGGCTCTCTTAAGTTGGCGGGGGGAAATCAATTTTTTTAACTTTTTTATTGCCAAATCGTTTGTTCGTCGTTTGTTTGTGATTGTTCGATTAATTTTATTGTTTGTTCGTTGTTCATTTTTTTATAAATAATTTTCAAAATTTTGACCTAAACCTAGCCCTCAATATGATGGTATCTACGGTTTTTTTTTTTTTTTCTATCATGAAAATTCTATCATGAAAATATATGCAAACTCTATAGTTAGGCGCGCGCAAAATTCAATTCTAGTGATTTAAAAATAGCGGGTGTCAATAGTAGGTACATAAAAATTAACATGTGTTTAACTAGCGACAGCCTACAATTTTAAGAAACTTAACCTCTTTAACATACATAGCGGATTTGTTTACATGTTGTCTCGCGTAATTTTATAATAAAATAAGAATTGTCTGAGCAAAATATTGTTGTTTACTAGTAAATAATAAATTATATTCGAAGTTTAAATTTCAATTAAACCTGAATAATAGGGTTGACACCTGTCAATAATAGGGTCTATGGGTGTCAATAGTTGGCTCCGATACCATTTCACCCTGTCAATAATACCTACACTTAAGTTGCAGATTTCAAATTAATATATTTGTCATTTAATTAGCGACTATTTAAGTATAAAAATTAAAGTACACAAGTTGATGAATCAAAAAAATTGTCTAATACAAAAAAAAATTAGTCAGATTAATTTGAATACGGTTAAAAAATTCAAATATTCGCCGTCCTTCTTATAGTGTCAATAATGGGGGGCTCTTACCTTAGTCGAAGTATTTTGAAACTAATCAAATTACTTTAATAAAATTTTGAAAAGAAATTTTTACCATGATAAATAAATATATATTCCTTTTTTTATTTAGAGAAATAAGAATTTTTATTCTCCAAAATTCATTAAAACAATTAAGTTAAAAAAAGAAATTTCACGACCCTTTTCAAATCTTGAAAAACAAAAATTTTTTTCTCCCCTCCGTGCGGAAAGCGTCAATTTTCCGCCCACTGCGCTAAACGAAAATGCCGCTTTCCGTCTCCGTTGAGGAGAAAAATAGTATTCTCACCACGGGCAGGAAATAAGAAAGCCTCAGATCACATGTTTGTCAACAATTACATGTAATCTGAGACATTTCTTATTTTCCTGCCCTAGATAAGAAAAATACTATTAGTCTAAGAGGACTTACAAGTATATTTCAAAAAATAATATTAAAAACATATTTATAATTACTAAAAATCCTTTATTATTTCAGACAATTTTCTGCGTGATGTACCTATGTATCGTCTACTTCCTAACGAGTCAACCAGTGGACGCGATGAGGTTCAGCATGTTCGTAGGCGCTTGTTTGCTGATTTCATACGTCGCACAATCAGTAGGACTAGTAGTGGGCGCTGCGATGAATGTCCAGAACGGCGTGTTCCTGGCACCAGTGATGTCAGTTCCGTTCCTGCTGTTCTCCGGATTCTTCGTCAGCTTCGACGCCATTCCTGTATATCTTAGGTGGATCACGTACTTGAGTTACATCAGATACGGGTTCGAAGGAACTGCGCTTGCTACTTATGGATTCGCACGTTCCAAGCTCAAATGCTTCCAGGTAAATAATTATCTTTCATGAAGAATTTAAGTTTTAAACCATTATTTTATAAAACTAAATTTTTTTTCCAGCCATATTGTCACTTCAAAGAACCAACGACGACGCTAGAAGAACTGGATATGCTCGATGCAGACTTCACACTCGACATCCTTGCTCTTATTTTGATATTCCTGGTACTAAGAATCGCGGCCTACTTGTTTTTGCGTTGGAAACTTAAGGCTGCTCGATAAGAATAATTTTTTAAAAATTAATAATGAACGCTTCGTACAATATTAAAAAAAAATACCGAATTTTAGTGACTGTTTTTTTTTCTTTTTTTTTTTTTGTAAAAATATTGCCTGAAGCTCTTCAACGTGTAAAATTATCTATTGTAATTATTTATTTACTAACTAAGTCAAAGAAATTTTAAACTTATGTAAATTTCTTGTGTAATTTTTCCTTTTTTATTCGGTCACTAATTCGCTGACGGCTGTGAGCTTTAAGTAACTTAAAAACAAATAATTGGAGATAATTTGAACAAAGAAAATTAAATATTAAATTATTATCTGAAAAAATATAATTTTTATTGAGGAAAAATGCTTGGAATAGTTAAAGATATACGAGCTTATCTTGCCAGATAGTCGTCGTAAATTATAAATAAATATATTAATATTAATTGTTCAATGACAATATTATTGAAATAACTCAACCAAATACCGTCGCAAGGGATTGAATGCCAAGTTGATTGAGAGTTTTGTGATGAGGGAATACTCTTGGTGCCTTTAAAAACTTTATAAAAAACGACGATAATTACATAATTTTTCTAATTAATTAATTAGAATTATTCTTCATGTAGTTTGTATAGAAGATTGATTAATAATTGATAAGATATATTAATGTGTCTGATCGACGTTAATGATCATTGTATTTTATATAAAAAATGTTTGTTATAAAATAAATAATTTTTTTTTCTTAAAAGTCACGTTTTTTTTTTTTTTCACCTGTCTGGCTCAGAATTTTTTCCGAATTTATTGTTCAAATTTTCACAATCTTAACATAAAATTGATATGAAATACATGGGAAGCCAATTTATTCGTGATATTATTGGTCGAATATATCATAAAAATGAAAATTAAGGTGTGCCAAATTTAAACTTCAGCGATGGACCTCTTATAATTGGAATTTTGAGTTTCGCTTTTAACAGAAGTTGTGTTTGGGCATTTCCTGAGATATTTTGAGCGTAAGGAATTTATTCTATTTTTATATAATTTTTTAACAGGAGTTTTGTTTGGTCAAATTTTGAAATTTTTTAATTTCAGGAAAAATGCCTAAACAAAACTCCTGTTAAAAAATTCTATGATAATCAAATAAATCCCTTACGCTTAAAATATCTCAGGAAATGCCCAAACACCTCCTGTTAATTTAAAAGCGGAACTCAAAATTTCAATTTTAAGATTTAGATTTAGATTTAGATTTTGTTTATTTAATGCCAAGGCACAGGCCAAATGGCAATTTCAATTACATAGTAAATACAGTTTTTACAAGAAAGCAATTTCTGTGAGTACATAATATAATATAATATAATATAATATAATATTGCACTATAATTAATTCAATTTATTTATATATAAACAAGGTAAAAAAGAAAATCATATTAAACTTGAAACTTAATGTATAAAAACAATAATTTTAAAATATAGAGGTATAAAATAAGAGGTCCATCACTGAAGATTAAATTTGGCACACCCTAATGAAAATATATATAAAGTCTATATTCAAGCGCGCGCAAATTAAATTCTAGTCCACTCTTATAATTTATATGAAAAATATGAAAATATATCATGTAAGCAAATTGCTCGTAACGTGATTGGTCAAATATATCATAAGCATGAAAATATGAAAATATATGTAATTTCATACTAACATTCAGACGCGCGCTTGCGCGCGCATCGTATACTAGTCATACATAAGAAGAAATACAACCTAACCCTAAACATCTTTCAGAGCATATCTTCCAATAAACTGAATTAATTATAATATTTTCATTTTAATTAACTTTGAATTTCATTAAAGTAGAGCTCTTAATAATAATCGAAACTATTCTGCGTCTTGTTTATCCAAAATATACAAATTAATATTAAAACTGATACGAATTTATAAAATCAGCCATTTTTATATGTATTGTTGAGTACCACATATGCTAGTGCCATCTTAATGTGACTTCAAGCACCAAACAAGACCAATGAACATTCCGCCTGTTAATAATATCAGTTGTACAAATTTTAAAGCTTCTTCAATTGACTTTTTTTGCAATTAAATTAAACAAACTCTACAGCAATTTTTTTTTTTTGATGAATTGAGTATGTTTTATGATGTATCTTTACTACTTAATGTTCCTCATGATATAAATTAATGTATCATACCGACAATATAAATGATTTTACGATTTGAAATGAGCGTTGTACCCTATATGTGTTTTTTGCAGAGAAGAACAGCCACTTCGAGTCATGCAATAGTTAACCGCTCATGCAAAAAACATTGAATATTGAAGCGTTTATTGATGTCTTGATATTTATTTAACTTTATCTTATTTATATCCGTATATCTGACGCATATGAATTCCTGTGTAATTGATTGATGTAATCGATAGTCGATAGAGAATAATGAAAAAAACAAATTATATTTTTATTTAATTACCAGGCAAATGCGATTTCGTAATGCGGAAAAAAAACATTGTTTTATTATGCAACATAACACTTTTGTTTGGAAGTTATTACTAAGTGAAACGATTTAACAATTATTTTCATTATCCGTATGCACACCAAGTAAACTCCTTTATTATTTTCAAGGAAAGTTTTTTTTTGCTCTGATGTGTTTGAGGTACTTGATTTTTTTTTCTAGATTTTATTATTCTTCGGGAAGGATAACATTTTTTTTATTTATAATAAACATTAAACGTGTACTTCGTGAAGCATTTTACAACGAAACTGTTTCTGGTAAGATCCATAAATCGGCAGACTAACAATTACAACACCTACGACCGCATGGAAATTAAAAACTAACTTTAAAAATTATATTACTTTTTGGAAATAATTTTCTAAATCTTTTTCCAAAAGTATGTTAGAAAAAAAAGATACTGTAGATTAATTTATATTACAGTAAAGTTTAGACTAAAAAAATTCAAAGCCATTGTAAAATGGATTCATTATGCTAAAAGAAAATTTTGTTTCAATTAAATTGGTTGAGTTGCACCAAACGATACTGCAATGTCGGAGCAACTCTCGGCAAATGCCGCAATTTGCATAATATGCAATAACTGATAATATTAATGACAATGATAGAATATTATGACCATTATTTGAAAAATTCACAACATTAATAGCGTTAAAAAACCTGTTATTACAATGAAATTCGTGAGAATTATTATTATTATTATTATCATTCTTTGTATAAGCTAATAGTCAAATTAGGGAAACACTTTCGATTTTTAATAATAATTATTATTATGTTTTGTGGTTACTAAAAACTAACTGTAAGAACTATATTACTTTTTGAAAAAAATTTACTGAATCTTTTTTCGGAAGTATGTGAAACAAAAAGATAATGTAGATTAATTTATAGTACAGTACAGTTAAAACTGAAAAAATTTAAAGCCATTGTCAAATGGATTTATTATGCTAAAAGAAAATTTTGTTTCAATCAAATTGGTTTTGAGTTGCACCCAACAATACTGCAATGTCGGAGCAACTCTCGGCAAATGCCGCAATTTCAAAAATCAGATTAATATACTAGATATTAATCTGATATTAATAGTCAACCATGGACTTGAATCTAGGAATCTTTCAATTCCCGATAGCCCTTTAATCTAGCAAATTTTTTAATAATAGTTCTTTGCCAATATGACACTGATTGAACTTCAACCAGTGCCCTTAAAAGAGTCGTTGACAGAGTCCGAGCAAGATTTTTGCTGAACTTTTCTGTCCGCACGACTGTTAGCTTGTTCAAGCATTGTTAATAATTTTTGAGGGATAAAATTTGCTTTCAGAATGATACCAAATGGGCTTTTGAACAGAATATAAATTTGAAAAATGAGTATCTTCAAGCGAACAACAAAAGCGACCATGCGCCGCCCTATGGAACTTTTGGTACTTAACTTGCAGTTTATTCTCTCTTGATCCTTTCAATATAATCAAAAATTATTCTTGTATTCTTAAAATTACTTCCTAATTATTTTCTTATAATCTATTGATATTAATCCATAAAATATTACTTTTATACACGGGAAAAAATTTCTGGGAAAATTTACGATACAACTATTGTAAAGCTGGACTATACCTTTATTACTATTAATTATCAAATATTTTAGAAGAAAAAATACTATTTATTAATGAAAAAATACGATATTACTACTGTAAAAAGTAAGAGATGAAAATTTCCAGTGCTGCCTCTGTATCTTTCCAATAGAACTATAGCAAATTTTACAATAGTTGAATTGGAATGTCTTTCAATTAGTGTGAGTGATGGCCGTGCACAGCGCTAGACTCTGAGTTTATATAAATGTTAAGGGGGAACACCACTGTGACGATCGAAAAATAGAGGTGATTTTCAGGAATTTTTTTGACAGGGAAAATAAAGGAATTTGGGAATCGGATTTTTTTTATTTTATTAAGGGTACATTAAAGATTATTACCCTAAATTTTTATTAAAAAATATTTAATTATTACAAAGTTATTAACAATCTCGTAGAGCACTAGAAAAAATTTTCCCCTTCATGGGCGGTTCGATAACTTAAAATTAGCGTAATCATCTTTAATGTACCCTTAATAAAATAAAAAAATCCGATCCCCAAATTCCTTTATTTTCCCTGTCAAAAAAATTCCCGAAAATCACCTCTTTTTTTCGATCGTCACAGTGGTGTTCCCCCTTAAAGGACATAGATCTTAACTTACCGCGGATAGCCTAAAGGGAGTCTCTCTGGCTACCAACACAGAGTTCTAGGTTCGATTCCCAGGTAGCACGAAAATATTTGTTTCTTTTTTCGATTACTGTACAGGTACCAATTCGTGCAACTTTCTTCTATCTCGCTCCCTCCCTAATATTTCTTTTAAAAAAACCAACTGTGAATTTTTACAATAGTTGAATTGTAAAGTTCACAAACACATATTGTATAATTTGCTCTATAGTATTCGACTTTTTAAAACTCTTGCTAGTCTTATTTGTTGGATAAAATTTACAATAGTAGATCGTAAAA